TCGGCAGACCACATAAGCAAGTATGACTGGAGACAAAAAGGAACCAGAGGTTTGAGAGAAATTCTGAGGTAGAACTTGCAGGTAAGCCCAAAAATTGGCAGATGAAATGGGTGAGTGATTACTCCACCCTTTGCAGAGATTGAAACCTTCCCTCGCCTTTGTCAAAAAAAGAAAAAAAAAAAAATACAGAGCTCTGGAGTCTTGTTCCTGGACGGAGGGTTCCATCAAAGTGGATCCTACAGAAGTTAGGGATTATGTTTTCCCTGTTGAAAATGTTTGAATGGTAATAAATATCTTTGGGAAACATGAATGTGTGTGAATCTTGATTAAGGGCCTTTGTCTTAACCTCAGTGTTGATCTTTATCCAGCCTCTTCTCAGAGGCCCAGCTTTCTTCTTGTGGACTTCCTGGGTTGGTCAGAAAAGTTTTGACAAAGGTGGCAGCATATAGGCTGCGGGAAGGTGTGGGCTTGATGGGTTCTGGGCTGGATTCCACTGACTAACAAGGTCAAGCTGAATGGCTGCTTGGTCTCCCAAAGTTGTTTTCTTTTTGTTGCACAGCACTGAAAATGTTTTCCATTCTTTGTTAAGAAAGTTTATATTCTTGGGCTGAGGCTGTAGCACATGTGAGGCACTGGGTTCCATCCTCAGCACCACATAAAAATAAATGAAGATAACTGTGTCTGTCTACAACTAAAATATTTTTTTAAAAATTATAATTTTATAAAGTAGCTTGAGGCAAGTTAGGCTTTTCAAAAGACAGGATAAATGGGATATTTGGCTCTTGTAGCTGGTTCCTAGGAAGGAAGCTAAGATGGTCCTGATGTTACTGAGTAATTGATCATTAAAGGTGGGAAAATACAGGGAGGGGAACATTATTAGGGGAAATCATGTATTAGAATGAGAATAGGAATTCTAGGAGTGTGCATCTATAGGAAAGAGTACCAGCAGTTACTCTGGGAGTTATCAGAAGGACTTATATGGCCCTGAAGGAAGGTATAGAACTAGCTGTTCTCTGGGAGAAAAAAAAAAAATGATGGAACAATCTGTTAGCAATTGACTATCAAATAAATATCACTCTTAAGTGATGGGAATAACTGTGTCCCTTCTCACTTTATCAGTCTTGCCTCAGCCCAGCCTCAGTGTGAGTTTTCCCTTGGTTTCCCCCCTCTTCTTACCTGTTCTCGCTCCCCCTCCCTCCCTCCCTCCCTCCCTCTTTCTCTTTTTTTCTTTGTACCAGGGATTGAACCCAGGGGTGCTTAGCCACTGAGCCATATCTCCAGCCCTATTTTTGTATTTTTTTTTTTTTTATAGACAGGGTCTCACTGAGTTTATTAGGGCCTTGCTGAATTGCTAAGGCTGGTTTTAGATTCATAATCCTCCTGCCTCAGCCTCCTGAGCTGCTGGGATTACAGGCATGTGCCACCACACCTGGCTTTTCATTGGTTTTCGGAGCCAATTTTTAAATATGTGTTTCTTACTAATCTCCCTTTTGCTTATGTATCTTGTTAACGGGAAGAGAGCAGTGGTAGTGTTGTGATTGAGGGACATTGGACAGGGTGAGGATTAGAGAAGTTAATGTAGGATCTACAGCAGATGGAGTCCAGTGGAGCAGGGCAGGGCTGATATGGCTTCTGATGACATGAATTCAGTGGTGTGAAGCTTGTGTTAAGGCTAAGCAAGCTGTTTAAGATGGCAGCTTACATGGATTGTACAATTCATTCCTGTCCTCATATTTATGTACATATACACACACATATACACACATGATATCCATGTATATAATATAGAATCACCATGCAGATCTTATGATTTTGTTCAACTAATGTTGCTTTACTTAGAGTCTGAAGCTAGAATAATGAGGGCTTCTTTTCCTCCCCTAGGTGTTCACCCCAAGATTAAAAGGCTTTCCATTGGGACTCTTCACCCAATCTCCAGTCTAGCTCCCCTTCTAGCAAACTGTACATGTAACTCAGCTTTGTTTTAATGAGATGATGTCACACAAAATATTATATATGAAACAGCACAGTGCCTGGCATGCAGAAGATATTCATATTCGGTTCATAAAAGATTTCAGACAGATCTTCCAGTTAAAGTTCTTAGTTTGTCACTGAGGCACCTTGAATGCTCCAAAAGATTGTCAGAAATCACAAGCATCCAAATCTGCTTCAAGATAATTTTACACTATAGTTACCTGGTATTGACCAATGGAACAGAATTTGTGATTACTCTCAAAAATGAGTATGAGTCCTGGTCATTCAATTCTGGGAATTTATTGCCATTGAAAAAAATAAAGATATTTACACAAAATACCCCAATTAGAAGAACTAGAGAGCTAAGCAATATCCTCAAGTGCCATTCTCAATTTCTTCCAAAAACCTATGGTTTGAAAAGTCCTCAAAGGAGGGAAAACAAATTAGGGACAAATTTTAAAATCAAAGTCAACCTTCCAAATGTCATAGGTCTCCCAACCTCCAGTAGGCTTAAAAGAACCATAAAAGCAAGCCTAAATTGAGTGAAAAGAAGTACACAGTGGCATGTTTAATTTTTCTGTAAGTTCTGGGTAATAGATAATTTAAAATTACTGAATTTACACGATAAGAATATATCAGCAGTAACTACTTTTTTTTTTTAACCCAGTAGTACTCTACCAGTGAACCACACCACCACCACACTTTTTAAAATAATTTTTTTGTTGTTGTATATGGATACAGTATCTTTATTTTTGTGTGGTGCTGAGGATCAAACTCAGTGCCTCACATGTGCTAGGCAAGTGCTCTACCACTGAGTCTGACATCCCCACCATTTAAAAATCTATTTTTAGATGGTCTCAGTTGCCATGGCTGGCTTCAAACTCTCCATCCTCCTGCCTCAGCCTCCCATGTGCCACCCTGCCTGCTTAAAATAACTAATTAAAATAAAGGACTCCACTCAGAATAACAACAATACTACCTAGGAATAACAGTAAAATAGATGAAGACTCAACTATAAAAACTATACACGTACCATTCAAATAGAAGTAAGTTTAAATTCTTATCAAACTAATTAGTTTAAATTTGCATAAATTCCAGAGGGAACTGATGTGTGTTTGGAGGAGGCTTGAACAGTTTAATGCCGAAGTTGATTTGAAAGAATAAGTAAGAACTGCTTAAACATTTCTGAAGATAGTGGGTACTTGCCTTATATTAAAAGTCTCACCTGGGCACTGTGGCACATCCTGTAATCCCAGTAGTTCGTGAGGTTGAGGCAGGAGGATCTCGAGTTCAAAGCCAGCTCAGCAAAAGTAAGGTGCTAAGCAACTCTGTGAGACCCTGTCTCTAAATAAAATACAAAATAGGGCTGAGGATGTGGCTCCAATGGTCAAGTGCCCCTGAGTTTAATCTCCAATACCCCCCAAACAACAACAACAACAACAACAAAAAACAGTCTGATTAAAATGGTAAGGTAATAGAGCAAGAGTAGATACCAGCACTACATTTAATCGTTAATTTTACACTATAGTTACCTGGTATTGACCAATGGAACAGAATATAAATCTCAAGAAACAGACCCTATGAGAAAGGAAATATTAAAAGCTAATAAGGACTTAATTATCTTGGCAAAACTTGTTATTTGCAAATATCAATCTAAATGCTCACCTGACATCTTGTGCTAAAATGGGGAACAGTAAAATGTGCCAATCTTTTATTATAAAATTAACAAAAACTAATAGCAATATTTAATGCTAGGATTGGTGCCCAGGAGGTACTTTCAAACTCTGGGCCTGAACATGAAAATACCTTTCTTTAAAAAAAAAAAAAAAAAAAATCACACTCTTTGACTTGGTTTAAATTAAAAAAAAAAAAAAATTAAGAGATGGAGTCTTGCTATGTTGCCCAGCTGGCCCTAAGCCCAAGTTGTCGGGACTGCAGGCATGTACTACTAACTCAGCTCAGAAGCTTAATTTCTAAAAACCTTCCTTAAAATAATCACTTGGATTTTTCTACAAAAAGGTGTTCACCATTTTACTTACTTCAAAAAATAAGAAACAAACACTTAACAGGAGAATGGTTCATTCAGTGATATGATATATCACATGGTGGAATAGTAATTAACCATCATGTTTGAGGTTTGTGAAGAGATTTTAATGACATGGGGGAAATTTTCAAATAGCAAAATAAAGTCTGAGCTTTGGCATTAAATAGAATTTAAATCTCATTTATAAGCTTCTGTGGCCTTATCAAGTTACCTAGCTTCTATTTGTTTCCTTACCTATTTAAAAAGGGATCAGAATATACACTTCTACTTTCTAAGCCTTGGAGAGCATAGTCAGATTATGAGTATAAAGATTATGTAAATCTACGTATATACAATCCTATATACTCAACAAATGTTAATCCAATGCATAAAGTGTTAAGATATAATATTTTTACACAGCAACCTTCTAATTAAAAAATGACACCCAAGTTTTAAAAGGATATTATTGGTCAATAGGACTGGGTATTTTCTTTTTATATACCTTCAATAATCAGCATGTTACTTTAACTAAGAGGAAAATAAACACTAAATAAGTGGTAAGAGTTAAAAAAGAAGAGTGTGGCATACTATTAAATTAGAAGCCAAATCTAGCTTTATCTTTGTAAAGGTAAGAATTAGTCTGCATACAGCTTCTTTGCTTTAGGCTGGGAATACGTGAGTTTTTGGTTTGTTTTTGGTGCTGCAGATTGAACCTAGATCCTTGTACATGGTAAACATGTGCTCTGCTACTGAGCTACACAATTGAATATAAATTAGTGCTTTTCCTTATAGCCATTTTATCTGGGACCGTAATTCCTCATTATTCAGGTCTTATATATTTTTTAATTTTTTAGTTGTAGTTGGACACCATACCTTTATTTTATTTATTTTTACATGGTGCTGAGGATTGAACCCAGGGCCTTGCATATGCTAGGCAAGCACTCCACCGCTGAGCCACAACCCCAGCCCCAGGTCCTATCTTAAATAGAAAATAATAATATATTCATACATTTAAAGAAACGAAAGTTTATTATTTTCAAACTGTATAGTTTATAACCAATATGTAAATGAACACTGATATGCAAAATAATGTCAGTTAATAAAAACAATGACAATTACAGTAGGCTTACATCAAACATGATCATGTAACTGCAGAAATCTTTAAACACAAAAATTTAATGATTAGAACCAGAAGTTGAGGGCATATTAAAGGTATCCTTAATATTATGAGGCCTAGGTGTCAAAAAACTACCAATTCTTGAATGGATTCTACTCTGGAACTGTTTCCTGACTACTTCTTGTTGCATCTCTTTCAGTGTGGAATGAAACCTTTGAAATTCAGGTGTGGCATCCACAAAGTCAAGAAGGTAGTCCAAACTCTCTCTCACAGCAGATAACTTAAATTCAGTAGCCTGCTTCTCAATTCCTTCTCTTTGGGCAACTCCCTTTGTAATTCTACCTTTAGTTTTTGGAGGACAACCCTTTTCTTCATCAACTCCATTTAACCACACCTTATCATCATCTACCTTAGTTTTTAACTCACCACATTTTTCAAGAATCTCTCTGTAATCTCTACTTTCTAAGCCTTGGAGAGCATAGTCAGGTTCCTTTTTGTAAAGAAGATTTTCCCAGGCATTTACTATGGTTATTTGCTTTACTTCATCCCAACTTCTTGCCCAGTTAAAAACTGCATTTTTTATATTATAGATTTTAATCTTGGAAATCCCGTTTTCCCCTTTATCTTGCTCATCTTCACTTTCTTCAAAAATTACCAGACTCTCTTCAAGTTGCTTCCATCTATAAAGTCGTTTGCAGCTCAAGGTCACACCCTGATTCATTGGTTGGATCAAAGTTGAAGAGTTATGAGGAAAGAACATACATTTTATTCGACCATCCTCACTGGTTAGTGATTCAGCAGAAGGGTGAGCTGGGGAACTGTCCAGAAGTAACAATGCCCTGACATCCTCTTCATGGAATCTTAGGACATTAATTTGAAAATGCCGAACCTCAGGAACAAAGTTTTGAAAGAACCATTCTGAAAACAATTCCCTGGTGAACCAAGCATCTTTACTAGGTTTATATATCACAGGTAATGAACTTGTGTCCTCTCTCACACTTTTGGGCAGCTTTAATTTGCCAATAATAATTGATTTTAACTTATGAGTTCCATCTGCATTTGCACATAAAAGGGCAGACAACCGTTCTTTGTTTATTTTCCTCCCTGGCAGGCAGATATCTTTTCTACTTGCCTGAGTGTTTTCTGGCATTGACTTCCAAAAGAGGTCAGTCTCATCCCCACTGTATACCTGAGCTAGATGCAGTTTCTCCTCTTTGATTATCAAGGACAGTTTTTGTCTAAATGGCTCAACATTTTCTGAAGCTGAACTTACAATCTGTTCTCCACATACTTTTCGGTTCCCAATTGCATGCCTATTTCGAAATCTAAAAAGCCAACCAGTGCTGGCTTTGAAGTCTGTTCGTCCAAAACATTGTGCAAATCTCTCTGCAGCAGCCTGAAGCTCCACGCCTCTAACAGGGACACCAGCTGAGCGTTTCTGTTGGTACCACATGTATACAGCATCATCTACATCACTATATTTAGCTCCTGTTGTCCTCTTTCTCTTTTCAGCTCCTACTAATGGCATGTCCTGTTTCAGTACAAAATCCAAAATCAATTTCTTATTCTTTTTAATGTCATAAAATGTTGACTTACTGATTCCAAATTCATCCATTACATTTTTAAGAGATCGTCCAGCTTCAATCCTGCTGAGAACCTTCATTTTTTCCTCCAAATTCAATGTTGTATATTTCCCTCTCTTATTCATAGTGATTTTGATTTCAAACAGCCAAAAAAATAAAAGGGAAATAGTTTACTGAATTGGGAAAAACATTTTAAAATAACAAAAAGCTAGTGGAGAGTCCTGGAAGGTTGCGGCATTTGTATTGGAGGGTAATGGGCTGAAAGGAATAAGGGCTCATGATTGAAGTGTCAGTCTTACATACTCTCAAAATTGCCACTACCAAAGACACAGGAAATAGGTTTTTGGAACCACATTGTTTTCTCTCCCTGATAGGGGTACCTGCATATATTCTCTAATTCTCTAAGAGGAAAAGGGACAAAATGAAGAGTAGAGGCATTGAGAGACATGTGCTCATAAGAACAGAACCAGGTGGATTAAATCTGTAATACAAAGTTGATGCTTGAGAAAGGAGTATGAAAAACTCAAAGGTAATGACAGGGTTATCTTGTATAGCAGAGATGCAGTATGGCTTCTTCCAAAATGACCTGGTTTTACCTCACTGCTGGAACAGAAAACTGTGCTCATGTTGCTCTGTATGAAGCCTTCACTGGGCAACAGTTCATCTACCTGTATAGACCCCAAGCCTCAAGGACCCTGACACTGGAACACCTGAAGAGCTAGAGCTTGGGGACATTTATATAGAATTTCTAAGTGAAGAAAAATCAGTAGGTTCTGTTGCACATCTGAATGAAATTCAATCTTTACTGTATTCAATATAGCAGTCTCAAACTCAGCTTTAACCTGAGTGTGAATTTTGTTGCCAAGATTATATGTAAACAATTTGTTTGTAGCACTTTTTCACTCTCAGGTCTTCTTTCTTGGGTATATAAGATGTATTCTCAATTATTCTTTTTCATTGAAAAGGTTCCACATTTGGGATATCAAGCTTCAGAATCATGGAAATTCTCAGAGCTAAATCTGAAGTTTTACAAATACTTAACCATAGTTAAAAAAAAAAAAAAGTCTATCATTTCACTTTTTTTCCTGTTTACTTTAGGATGTCAACATACTTTTCATATTTCTCTTCAGTATAGATTTTACTTAATTTGCACCAAGAATCAATTGTCTGAAGAATTCAAAAGATTGCTCTAATGGTATTTCTGATCAGTTGTTTCTCATAGTTCCTTCTGTTGCCAAACTTTTATATACTCTCAGATAATCCTTTCAGGAGCTCCTGGTGCTGCCCAAAGCCATTGCAGGTCTTGAGAAATGTTCTACTCTAATTCCATGGTTTCCATTCCAGAAACAATTTCATAAGAAACAAAAACTGCCACTTGTATCCACTCCAGGTGCTATGAAGAAAAAAATATGTCAGAAATGAGGAGAATGATTAGTATTTGTTCTTTTTCCTTCCCATTACATCAGAGCCTGACTGCCCCATTTATTCCCTAACTATATAGATTTCTCAAGTCTCTCATCTAAAAACCCTGAAGAGTCAGAGCAAGTCTTTCTCAAACATTTGTTGCTAGAAATGCCAACTCTTGAGTTACAGAACACTAAGAAAATCATGAAAGAATATATTTAGATGGTAGAGCCAATGACAGGCTAAAATCAAGCAACTACTAAGTGGTAATATTATAAAAGATAAAAGAATATGTTGTTTGTTAGCCAATAGTAGCACCATTATCTCTAGTCAATTACCCAGAAAAAACACTGTCCGCTATGGCAGTTGCAGATATCCCAAAATTAATTCATTGTATTTTGTTGTTTCCTAGCCGTACATTCATCACTTCTAAAAGAGTGCACAAGCAGGGAGAGATGCATCAAGAGCCAGAGAACTTTTATGGGCTCAACAGGAAGGGTAAGCAACTGTGGCACCAAACTTCACACAGTGAAAAGCATCAGTGGCCCTCATTTGCCTATTCATCATTTTGCTTTGTTTCCTCCTTCTCTCCACAGTTTCTCTTTCCCCCTTCTTCTCCCTTTAACCAACTAATGAGATATAAGGGCACTGCTGGCATAAGTTTCCGTTATTCAACTTAATAAGTTCTAGTTAAATGTTCGGCATTAGGCGAGGTGATGAGATTCTCAAAGCTAAGAATGAAAGTTATGAAAGGCTGAGAACCATACTTACTTTTTAAAGAATTAATTCTCAACCTCATTAAGATCTAAGGAAATGAACCTTCTTTGATACATATCCAAATGATTGAGGCTAATGCTCATTACCTTGTTTAATCTCATTTAAAAAGGTTCAAGATCTGGGGCTGGGGTTACAGCTCAGTGGTAGAGCACTTGCCTCACACCTGTGAGGCACTGGGTTTGATCCTTAGCACCACATAAAAGCAAATAAATAAATTATTGTATTCATCTACAACTAAATATATATATGTGTATGTGTGGGTGTGTATGCGTGTGTATTTTTTTTTCAAGATCTCTGCCTCAGATGATTATAATAACATGCTGTTCCCAAACAGAAGTAGTATAATGGCCCCCGTCTTCATTCTGACTTTAAACTTACCTCTGGTTGAACTGCCCTAGAAAGATGTGCCATCAAAAACCCTCCAACTGGAGCTCTGTTATTGATTTTCTCAAATGCAATAAGATCCATATAAGTCTTTAAAAAAAACACAACAAACTACTTCTGAAACTCTCCCTCTAAACACAGCCTGACTCTGTGAAAATGTACTTCCCATCTTTTATTCTAACTTTTTCAGCTTTCAAGCCTCCTCTTGAACTTTTTTGTACAAGTGTCCCCACTCTGCTGTGGGCAAAATCCCTCAAGGCCTTTTATAATTTCCCCCAACTCCAAATCAACTTTCACCTCCTTGGAGTTCTCACTAGTGATGTTGCTGAAGTTGCTTCGGCCCTCCGGGTTTCTCGCGGACTCCATCGCCGGCTGCACACAGTTCACCGAGCAGGCAACCTCTGACTGGCACAGGCTGACACTGTGAACGCTGGGGAACCTCCCGCGCGATTCTGTCTAGTGCAGAGCTCCGGCACTGCCAGGACCAGACCAAAGGCCCAGAGCCCTGCGGGGAGGCAAGCTGTGGGGAGGCAAGCTGCGGGGAGCGGCAGAGCCCGGAGGCCCGCGGAGCCGGAGCTACCTGCCTCACGAGCAAACAGCGCCCCCAGCCGCGGGGCAGGCGCCGCACGGCCCTTCCAGAAAGCCTTGCGGACACGTGGGGTGCGCCCGGTCCTACCTGCAGGAGCTGCCTGCTCTCCAGGAGCCCTCAGCGACGGCCGGGGCATGCGTGCCAGGCAGGGCGGCGAGGGCGGGCCCTGAGGGCTCGGGACCCTGTCGGTTCGGAAGCGTCGACAGTTCCCCGTGCCACAGGGCAGGCAGCCGCCCCTCCCGAGCGCCGTGAGCGCGGGCGCGCGGGCGCGCGGCCGTGGGGCACATCAACGCGAGGGATGGGAGTGGCTGCACGTCATTTCCTCTTCCCGCCGCGCGCGGCTCAGGGACCACAACTAAGTCGCTGCGGGTGGGCGTCTTCTCCAACGAAGGCCCGGAGGGTGTGCGCGGCTTTCGGCCGCCCGCGCGCCTGCATCGGGGCGGACGGAGCGCCGGGATCCGTAGGGCGGCGGTGGCTCGCTTGAGCCTGGGGCAGCTGGAAGCAGAGCGGAGCCGAGCGAGGTAACCGAGGAGCTGCCATCCCGAGAACGGGTGTTCTGTAGGTGGCGGCATCCGGCCCTGGCGGCCAGAGCCTGCGACGGGTACGGCCCGGGCGAGGCCACCGCCCGGCTCTGAAAGCTTTCCTGGCGTCCTTTGCGTGGGAGCGGGCCTCAGCGGGGCTAGCTGGGGCGTGTGCAGCTGAATCCGGAAGGCTTCCCGCTGGGGCGCGGGAGGGTCGGCGGCACCTCCAGCAGCAGTTTCTGCCCAGGCCAGAGGAGGACGAGCCCGGGCTCCGCAGCCGGGACGGCTAGGTAGCATGCTTCACTGGGGGCTTTTCTTTGAATGCCTGTGGCATTTCGGCAGAGCTTTTCTTAGCCTCCCCTAGAGATCTAAATAACCCTCGAAGAAATGAGTTGCAGAGGGTCACGCCCCCCCCATCACCAACTCCCCTTCTCCCCCCCCCTTTTTTTTTTTTTTTAAGTTTTGGGTGAAAGAATTCCTCCACGCAAGACACTTCCCTGGGAGAGTTCCACTTTATTACAAAAGGCTATGGGCTTATATAGATCTAAGGAGAGATGGCAGGGCTTAGGTAAATGAGGGTCACTCGTTTATTGGTAAGTTCTTCCAGATGTCAGTTCTGGAGCCCACGAAATTAGTTCTTATTGGGGCTAAGGTTTACTGCCCACGAGATTTTAAATTGGCGCTGGCAGGAAAGGCAGAGGCAGGAAGAGAAGCTTCTCAGGCGCCGTGTTGGGGTTTTTTTCTGGGTGTAGCTGCCATTATACCTTTTCCCAACATTGGGGATTGAACCCAGGGGTGCTCGACCATTGAGCTACATCCCAGCTCTTATTTATTTTGAGACAGCGTCTCAGTAAGTTGCTAAGGCTGACTTCAAACTTACAATCCTCTTGCCTCTACTTGTGGGAATATGGGCATGTGCCATCACGTCTGCTCTTTTTAAAAAACTGGATAATTTGTAAATAAAAGCCAGCTGTGTGGGGGGGTTTCTAGGTTAAAAATTCATTTAAATCATTTGCATAGCGTCCTGTGTATGTCTTGCAAAAAAAAATAATGAGCATTTAGTTGATTAGTTGGGAAATGCTTTTGGAGAAGAATATGGCTACCTTTCCCCTTAATTATTTTCCTCTTATTTTGGTTTCCTTCTCTTAAGCTCTCCTGCTATCATCCGTACAATGGAAAGGGCACTATCAACTGTTCCATGAAGTGAAGACTTCTATCTTCACAAATAAATGAAGGTCATTAGAAGTTATACCCCCTTACTAAAGACAGACTGGGTTGACCTGTTAAAATTTAAGAGGAACTCAATCTCTCCTAATCTGATTTTCTCTTATTCTTCACTTGTGAGAAACATGAGCTAGGAAGCACACCAATTGTCCTTAGGATAATCCTAAACCAGTAGATGCCAATTTTCTCAACTACCAACCTTTCTTGAGTTGTTAATAAAAAAAAGGCAGCAGTGTTATTTGACATTTATCTTCTCTGAGCTGGGTTGTGCTTTGAGTAATAGAAAAGGAGAGAAGTAAAGAACCTGGCTATTGATTTTTAAAGGGAAGGTAGGAAAAGGACCTTTTCTATCCATTTTCCTCAATAAATAGCAAGTATTAAGGTTTGTGTGACTTTCTTATTGACATATACTTTTTTTCTGCCCTCAACATCTGTAGGAAGAAGATACTTACATTGATTTTTATACCAGAGCAGACGGGCCTAATTTATCAAAGGTGGCACCAGCAGGGTGCCAAACACAGGAGCAAAACTGGTGCTAGGGCAGAATGATGATGGTAGATCTGAAGGTGGTTGAGCAATTGGACCCTCAGATCAAAACTCTGTGGGAGACTAAGGAGCCTGTGACACAGAGCTCCAATCAAAGTAAGAAATCTGCACAGACAGACAGTCTGGATCCCAAGAGTTCTTGCTGGCATTTCCGGAACTTCCATTATCCCAAAAGAGCTGGACCCCGTGAAGCTGTCATCCAGCTTCAGGAATTATGCCGTCTGTGGTTAAGACCAGAGATTCACTCAAAGGAGGAAATCTTGGAATTGCTGGTGCTAGAGCAGTTCCTGACCATTCTGCCCAGGGAGATGCAGGCCTGGATGCAGAAACACCATCCACAGAGCGTTGAGGAGGCTGTTGACTTGGTGGAACACTTACAAAGGGAATCTGGTCAAAGGAGGAATGGGGTGAGAAGGAAGATTTCTAACATGTATAGTGAAATAGGATGAGGGTGGATATAATAGGGATGGGGGAAGTTAATTGAGAAATGATGAGTTAGTTCTACTGTATTGTGTTTTTAAGGCATTTACGTTGGGACTTGAAATCATAAGCACTCAGGAAAGGAAAAGTCCACTAGTTCCATAGATCACAGCAGGGATTTCCTTGACTTTACAGAAAAAAATAATTGAATTTTGCTCTTTTTTGGAGTCGTGATTAATGGGGTGATCTTGCCTGAGGAGACAGAACCTGAATTCTTAGAAACAAATAAAAGCCAATAAGGTGAGTGAGGGTAGATCCAAAATAGGGAGGATGCCTAGAGATCAAAGGAGAGCAAGGATAATAAAGGAGGAATTCAAACAACTAGGGGAAACTGCATAGGGAAAGAAGAAAATAGAGAAGAGGGAAGCAAAAATTTGGAAAGAAGGAAAATCCCAACAGAATAGCTACAAGAAGAAAGACATTGAGGGATAGTTGCTTCCCTACCTTAAGGGGGTCTCCATTACCCTTCCTTTGTGGCTTGTTCTTGGCTTTGCTGGTGAGTGAGAAAAAAGGGTATACCCTTGGCAGGTGCCTAACACCTGCTGACCTTAGACCTACTAGGAAGTTTACAGGGCAGGACTTTTGGTATCAATCATCTGGGTGTGGGAGCCGTTCTTCCTCTCTCATTTTCTTTAATTTATTCACTTTCCCTATGAAAACCTCCCTAGTTATGGGGTAAATGTGATTGATAGGAAAACTTTTATTTAATTCCTTAGAGAAAATGAGAAGATAGGAAATCACCCAGGAAAGGATCTAAGGCAAAGGAAAAAGCCAGACCAAGTCAATATAAGAATAGGTTCAGTGCTCAACCTTGGTAGTGGCCTGAGGTAGATTTGTATGCAAAGGTTGCTGTTTTGTTTCAAGCTTATAGTTTGGAGTGTACATTTGTTGCACCTTCTGTTCCACTTCCCAACCAAAAGAAGTTCTGCAGTAACAAGGATGGGGATTATTTCTAGGTTGAAATCCATGAGCTGGGAAAGGAGCCAGTACTTTTGGGAGAAACAGCAGAGGTCCCAGGCTTAAAGGTGAAGCCAGCAGAGTCTCAATCAGAAGGCAAGTCTCAGGATGAAGAACTTCCGAATACATACCAGGGTATACAAGAACATCTGAGCAGGAGTATTTGTAAAGAAACGGAGTCTGTATTTGAGAGTGGTAAGGAATTTCATGATAATTTCTGAGAAATGTGATAGTAATTTGTTAAGCCAAAATGTTGTGGTCATATTTTGGGTACCCAGTTCCGTTGATCTCTGAAAGCACTCATGATTAGCAGTTATGATGTCCTTTCATACAGTGGCAAAGGTGGGGCTTGGCCTGGGGTGTAGAAACATTCAAACCACAAAACCCTGGTAATAACACTATGAACTCCATTCCTTAGAAAAGTGGAGAGAGGGAAAAGAAACAAAGCAGGAAGGTTTGGGGCCACTCATTCATAAAATTCAAAAAGAATTACAATCAGAAATGGACTTTTAGCCTCTGGGCACAGTGGCACACAACGGTAATCCCACAGCTTGGGAGGCTGAGACAGGAGGATTGTGAGTTCAAAGCCAGCCTCAGCAAAGAGCCAGGCACTAAGCAACTCAGTGAGACCCTGTCTCTAAATAAAATCAAAAAAGGGTCGGAATGTGGCTCGGTGGTCAAGTACCCCTGAGTTCAATACCTGGTACCAAAAAAAGGGTGGGGGTGCTTTTTTTTTTTTTTTTTTTTTTTTTTTTTTTTTTTAAAGAGAGAGTGAGAGAGAGAGAGAGAGAATTTTTTTAATATTTTTTTTTTTAGTTCTCGACGGACACAACATCTTTGTTGGTATGTGGTGCTGAGGATCGAACTCGGGTCGCACGCATGGCAGGCGAGCACGCTACCGCTTGAGCCACATGGGTGGGGGTGCTTTAAGCAAAAGCAAATGGTCTGTTAGTGGCAGAATGTGAAGACAATTATTGCACCAGGAAAAAAATAATAAAAGACAAGTTAATTTCTTGTATACAGGAGTCCCTGAGTGCTTCATTTTGAAATATTTTTAATTATTGCCTAACTCAGAACAATTTATGCATGAACGGAAAATGAAAGGGATTTTATTAATTTCTCATGACTAAGTTAACAGTCAACTGGGGAACTAGTTCTAAGAATTTGGTAGGTACTTGGTTCTTATTTATGAGAAGCCACTCTGTCACCACAGCACTTGTAAAGAGGATCTGTATTTCAGAAATGAACTCAAGAGGTTTATAGACGAGAAATTTCCTCTGGCTCTTTTTCCACCCACAGATGTACTTGCTCAGCAGAGTATAGTCTTTTCTGAACAGAAAAACACCAAAGACTGGACATTGGCACCTGATCTTGTCTTGTCTGAATCCCAGGTGAGTTTTGTTTTTTAGCTGTTTAGAGTTGCCTTTTCCTGCTATCCATTATTCATACTGTCCAAGTATGTTAGATCCAGTCTTTGTCACTTGGGGTACCTCTTAGGCTGTTTGCCAATCCTTTCACCCATTTCTGGCTTCTTTCTTTTTATAATGCAGTCAGGTGTTGCATGATGGTGGGGATACTTTCTGAGAAATGTGTCATTAAACAACTCTGTCATTGTGCAAACATCATAAATGGTGCTTACACATCCCTAGATCATGTAAGTCACTTATTCAGTGAGACCTGTTGATTGAGTCAAGAGACATGGTAAGTACAAGATGTATGAAGCTGCTGCTATCACAACATTGGGATACTGTTTTCTAGTAAACTTTTTTTTTCCCAGTATACCAGGAGTATACTCCTAATAATTAAAAATATGATAAATACATAAACCAATAACTTAAAAAATAAATGTTTTTAAGTAATATGTACTGTACATTACTGTGTGTTATACTTTTGTACAACTAGTAGCCCAGAAGGTTTATTTATACCAGAATCACTACAAACACATAAGAAAGGCATTGTTCCATGATGTCATTAAGCAATAGAAAATTTCTAGCTTCATTATAATGTTACAGAATGACCTTCATATGTGTGGCCTATTGACCAAAACGTTCTTATGTGGCACATAACTATAATCATGTACTGTTAATTCCTTCATAGCCTGGCCTACTGTACAGTTCTTATCTAGGTGTTTGGGCTGCTTCTGTAGTAATGTAAGTACTAAACTAAGTCCATTATTTTCCTTAGAGCTTGTTGACATTTGAAGAAGTAGCCATGTATTTTTCCCAGGAAGAATGGGAGTTATTGGATCCCACTCAGAAGGCTCTCTACAATGATGTAATGCAGGAAAACTATGAGACTGTCATCTCGCTAGGTAAAGATTTTTCCTCCTATGTGTAGAAGTCAAGTAACCTGACTCATTCTTGGCTTACTAAGAATGAAATCCCATGAGATTTCTCAATAGCTGGTTGGTTCTCAACTAGATGGTGTGGGGAGGGAGAAGTTGTGTCCCTTACATGTGGGAGCTTTTCCTAAATGTACATGCAAATTTCTTATCATGCATAGAATTCTTGATCCATTTCCTTTTTTTAATCCCAAATCTGCTCTTACACATCTTTCCCATCTTGGCAAAAGATTATCTAGATGGTTCAAGCAAAAAAAAAAAAACCCCAAATAGTTATCCTTTAATTTTGCCATCATATCCCATTAGTAACCCATAAGCAAGTTGTCTTAGCTCCACTTTATTATGTACTGACTTCACCTATGACTCAACCTCTTGAACTCTGTTAGCATCCTCATCTAAGGCAGCATCATCTCAAACCAGATAGCTTTCTAACTCTGTTGCCTTGCCTCTACTCTTGCCCTCCCACTATCTGTTTATCACACAATGACCAGAGTGATCTTTTAAGAATTTCTTTGGATTATAATATTTTATTGCTTCAGAATTATGCAGTGATTTCTTAAATTCAAAATAAGTTCATTATCCTTATCAGAGCACTCAGACTCTCCATGATCTGGCCTTGCTTCCTGCCACAAGTACCTTTGCTTAATCCTCTTTAGCCACATTGGTTTTCCTGTTGTTTCTTGATTTTGCATACTTATTTCTGCTTCCCTTTCTCCTCTGCTTGGCACACTTTTCTACCATGTTGTAAAATTCTGAACTTTTATGTTTCTGCTCAAGCAATACTTTGTAAAAGAATGCTTCCCAGAGTAGAATCATAAGACTGTTTTGTAACGTCTTCAGTGTTCTTCAAAACATTTATTGCTTCTTGACATTCTTTGGCTTGTTTTATTTACTCACTTGCTTTACTAGTAGAATATAAGCTTTCTAAAATCAGGACATTGAGCTTCTTTACCACTATAGCTCCAGCCCATAGAGCATCATATCCACTCAATAAATAAATAAATAAAAACAAGATATTAACTTATTTTTGGTACTGAGGATTGAACCCAGGACCTTGTGCTTGCAAAGCACATGTTATACCCTGGAGTTAAATCCACAGTTCCAATAAATATTTCTTGAAAGAATGAATGATATATAGTTCTCATACTGGCCAAACTATTTAGAAAAGGTCTACCAAGTGCTCTTGGTTCATTTCTTCTACCTGAATGTAGAACTGTGAACTATAAGAGGGGTAGAAATCCATCCTTATCCATGGCTTGGTGCTAAATAAGTAAATCTAAATAAACAGTTATAAATATGACAGCAGTTACTTGTGGATATGATACTAACCTTACAGACTTTCATATTGGCTCCACTATACATGGTCTTATCCAGTATGAATTTTCTTAAGGAGTTATTAAGACCAGCCTGTATTTCTTGTAACCTCTGGAATTTGGTTCCCTTTTGGTTGAACAGAGTGTATTCTTGGTAACAGAAGAGGGAAAATGTACATTGGGTTTCTATTCCCTATATCCTTTTCATTGATCTACCTTGGGGTTTATTTCTTAGCCTCTGCTTGCACATCCATCCATGAATGCAGTATGATATAGTGTAAACATGATACTAGATCTGGGGTAACAAAGTGTAGAATTGTCTTTTTGTCTTCCTGAGTAGTCTGAAATTAGTAGATCAATTCATTGTGAAGTTGAAGTCTTTTACCTCATTTTTCCCATTTCACAGCATTATTTGTGCTCCCCAAACCCAAAGTGATCTCCCGTCTAGAGCACGGGGAAGAGCCATGGGTTCAAGGATCCTCAGAGTTTAAAGACTATCCCAGAGAGTCTCCTACAGGTAAATATACCATGGGAGGAGGAGACATGTACCTTGATGTGATCCTTTACATGGACTTAACATTCTAAGGTTCTGCTGGTCTGATTTTTTTTAACCCATGTTCATTTTGTTTGTTTTAATAAATCACCATTGAATTTTTCCTTCCTTGTGGTTCTGTTGTTCTAGGACACAGATGGCTTATTCTTATGTTTATTCCAGCAGGGTTAAAACAAAAAAAAGACACTGAAAATCATCAGCCTGTATCTCTTTCTGACTTGGAAATACAAGCACCAAGAGATACAGTATCAAAAAAGGCCAAAGTGAAAGTTCCCCAGAAAACAATGGGCAAAGAAAATCATGGTGATACCCACAGAGTAGGGAAATGGCACCGAGATTTTTCAGTGAAGAAAAGAAAGAAACTTTCAACATGGAAACAAGAGCTGCTAAAACTTATGGACCTTCACAAGAAAGACCGTACAGGAGAAAAGCCTTTTAAATGCCAGGAATGTGGGAAAAACTTCAGAGTTAGCTCTGACCTTATTAAGCACCAAAGAATTCACACAGAAGAGAAGCCTTATAAGTGTCAACAGTGTGATAAGAGGTTTAGATGGAGTTCAGATCTTAATAAGCACTTAACAACACATCAAGGAATAAAACCATATAAGTGTTCATGGTGTGGGAAAAGCTTCAGTCAAAATACAAACCTTCACACACACCAAAGAACTCACACAGGAGAGAAGCCCTTTACATGTCACGAATGTGGAAAAAAATTCAGTCAGAACTCCCACCTCATTAAACACAGGAGAACCCACACAGGTGAACAGCCTTATACCTGTGGTATATGCAAGAGAAACTTCAGCAGACGGTCAAGCCTTCTTAGACACCAGAAACTCCACCAATGAAGGGAAGCTTGTCCAGTGTCCTTATTCTGAAGAAATTCACCAAATGGAGTTTGATACTGAAAAAATGCAAAATCATGAAGCATGAAGAATTTTTCCTAATCAGAAAATTTGGTACATATATCATGATTCATAGAAAGATTGACCCAGCCGTGGATACATTAGTTGTTCTACTTTTAATGTCAGGGAATTCCTTAGCATAAGAGATGTTCTAAGAGCATCTGGATAAGGGAAAGGGCTCTTTTGGGATTGTACATGGAAAATAGCAATTTCAGCTTTAGATAGCAGATGCAGCCAGTTAGTAGTTCTCTGTGATGACAGAAGTAAATACAGATGGTTTTGCATTGATCTCTCCAGTCACTTCAACATAGTAGAAACATTTGTAATATAGTCTTCCAAGATGAAAAACTGAACATTTATCTATATTTAATTGCAAACTATTGTCTTCAGGGTAACAGGCTTAACATTTTCAATGATCTTGTGGGGCAGAAATTAATTCGAATGGAAAGTTTTTTCCAGGAGCTAAATTAGATTTTTTTCCTTTTTCTTGTCATTAGACACTGTTCACTAGAGTGGACATCATTGGAGTTTCTTGAACTTTTTAGCAACTTAAGCTCTTGAATCCTTCCTGTTAGCACAAATTTTACTGTGATAAAACAATATTTACTTCACCACTAGGGAATCTGCCAGGTGGACTAATAATGCACTATTTATGCCTCTCATTGGTGGTGTTTGAAAAATGGAAAACATCTTTAATGAGAGCATATGAAAACGGGTTGGATTTTGTAGCCATGAATATATATTAGATGTAAGGATTTTCTGTGATAAAAGTAGACTGTTTCCTTACCTCAAGATGTCAGGATAAAGCAGTCATAAAAATTAGCACTTGTCCAAGGATGAAAGAAAGTTTAGGATCAACTTCTTACAGTTTTTGTTTACTTCTTAATTTGGCTTTTGTTTCTTAAGAACAAAAGAGTTAATGTTTGTATGAGAACTGGAATGTGTGTGTGCTATTTGAACATGTATTCAGCAGGAGTTTGGGTTCCTAAAAGGAAAGTTTGGTAACTGATGATTGGTGTTGGGCAAGTATAGGTAGATCTACATCCATGTTTGTTATGTCTCACACTGAAAGTTCTTAAGCAGGGTCCACCTGTCTGTTCTTTCCAGCACAGTATAGGTGATAAATTTGATGGATTGCTGTCAGTCTGCATAGCCTATGGATTTTCTTAAAACTGACAAAACAGTAACTCAGGTTTGTTCCTGGTATGGCTTTTAGGTATGTCAAGAAAGAGATTAAGAAATTGTCTCTTCCTAGTCTCTCTTAAATGAGAAGTTGAGACTCAAAGAGACGGAGAGCCAGTATGGTGCATACCTGTAATCCCAGCTTCTTGGGAGGCCAAGGCAGGAAGATCACAAGTTTCAGGCTAGCCTGGGCAATAGAGAGATGCTGTCTCAAAATTTAAAAAGGGCTGTGGATGTAGTTCAGTGTTAGAGTGCTTATCTGGCATAGGTAAGGACCTGGGTTCAATCCCCAGTACCTCTCCCCCAAACACACATACATAGGCTTAAGAACTCATTGCTAGAGGGTCTGTGGACTATCACATAGCATCATCTATCATATATGAAGGCAGGATTAGTAGGACCAATTTATTACGTTATCCTCACACAGCCAGCCTGAATAATGTGTTATATTGAATTCTAGCTTGTAAAACACTTATGTTTCTTGATTGGTTTGTGAAACACTCTTGTTGTCTCCATTTTCTCTCTAAAATAGAGATATCATTCAATTCAGGGTTGTTTGGGGATTAGATGGATTGATGAAAGTACAGCACCTAAAACAGGGTCTTGCCCATAGAAACATGGTGAGTATATGTTCTTTCCCTTTCCCTTGCTTCCCAGTGGTAAGTTGGACTGGCCAGCTACATTAAGGAGGCAAATGGCATTTGTTGCAACTCCATTCAGAAACTGAGCACTTATAGTTATTAGGCTAAGATGACTTGATTCTTGGCTTTAGTGTTTTATTGTGTACATCACGAGAACCACCTGAGCTATTGGTCAGGAGCTCTTGGCAGCGATTCTGTTTTATCTCTGAGGTCAGTTGCACCAAGTTTATTTTCTAAGCACAGCCAGCTCTGAGGCTGTGGTCTGCCTAGTCTTTCAGCCTTAGACCCTTGGGACTTGGACCATTGTCTCAGGACATACATGTATTTCTTACAGATACTGCAGTCACTCGGCTCTATTGTGTTCTGGACGCTGTCCTAGACTCTGAAGAGACAGCAAAGGAGAGAACACATCCTTTCATGGAGATTGTATTCCAGTGAGTTTAGGAGAAAGGAGGTAAAAAGAATGGTTTAGCTTTCTTGTTTCTTGCAGTAAGGTAGGATCATGAGAGATTTGGTCAGTGGGTCATGGGCAGAAGCCTCACTTCTGGGCTGACACATTTGTTTTCTGTGCAAGACTCTAGTACTCTCCTTTCCTGCCTTAATCATGAAAACACACATATGAGTAGAGGAGCCACAAGATCAAAGCCATCAGGAATATTGAGTCCCAGCTTAGAGGTCAGGTTTTCTGAAGCCCCCAGACCTGTAATGTACTTCGTGGGAATGAAAAATAAATTTCATGTTAAAGAATGGACATACTGGTGCCGTGTGTTTCTGCAGCATAACCTAGCCTATTTAAGCAATTGTTTGGTGGGTACACTTGTAGAAATCAAGAAAATTTCCCTTTTCATTTCACCTGACTTTGGTCCTTTAAAGATCTAGGTTCTCTTATATGCTTGGCAGCTAATGCAATTCCAGTTGAAACAATTAGGCACTCAAGACTGTAGGTTATAGGGAAGAAAGAAATTGCTGTCGGGGACGGTGATATCAAGGGGAAATTAATGGTCCAAGTGGACAAGGCAACCCTTCCTTCCTCTCTAGCTTTATTCTGTTTTCCTCATTGTTTGTCTTCCTGTCCCCCACTCCTCCCCTGGACCTCACCTGTAGGTGGTGTGTCTATTGATGTTTGGGTTGGGGAGGGAGTAGGGGTTACCTTCCTTTTTTTTTAGAGAGATTTTTAAAAATATTTTTTAGTTTTTGGTGGACACAACATCTTTATTTTTATGTGGTGCTGAGGATCGAACCCAGTGCCCTGCTCATGCCAGGTGAGTATGCTACCGCTTGAGCCACATCCCCAGCCACCTTCCATTCTTGATGGAATAGTATAATTTGGAAACTGCCTCTGTTATACTTACTGTCAGTTGTATACATTAGAAAACAGAAGAGATATAGGGCAAAGCACATTTTCTCAGACTGGTATAGAGAGGAAAGTGGCTGCTCTGAGCTAAGAGATGACTGTTGGGGAGAAACTTGAGCAGGAAATCAGGACAGTTGCAGTTTTCCAGTGAGAGGCTGCCAGTGGGAAAGTCCTGGCTTAGATTGTAGTGATCAACACAGTGTCTCACTGTCTTAGATTTGAAATTTGGGGTAGAATTTGGAAGAAAGGTTTTGTGAATCTTTGTTCAAATATGAAATATGAGAGACAACTGTAGCTTTAGCCTTAAACATTAAGCACTAAAGTTCTAATGAATATGTCCTTCAAAAGCAGCCAGAAGATTTCCAGCACAAACCAGAATGGTGCTTTATTTTCATTTGTTCAGATGGCAGTATTAACAAAGTTGTTTCTGAGAACTGTGTTATTTCTTAGATTGCCTTCATCTTCCCCTGCTAGTCTAAGTGGCCAGTTGCTAGAATCAGCCCAGATGTAGAGTTCTTGCCATTGAGCAGACTATGTCCAGAAACTTTAGCTCATCTTGAGAACTTTGTATCTTGTAACTACAAGGGAAGAGCAGGAGGACTTAGATCAAACCTCAAAATGAAAACTCCTAGGGTTTCTATCAGCTTTGGGCTGGATTCCTTGTATAGTTTCTGAAGTGACCTGAAGTGGGAAGCCTTGAAGATTTTCCCATACTGTTTCTTTTTTTTTTTTTTTTTTTTAAATATTTATTTATCTATTTATTTTTTAGTTATCGGCAGACACAACATCTTTGTTGGTATGTGGTGCTGAGGATCGAACCCGGGTCGCACGCATGCCAGACGGGCGCGCTACTGCTTGAGCCACATCCCCAGCCCCTCCCATACTGTTTCTAGTGTTCTTCCCAGTAAACTACACCCAAATTGCTGTAGTGTGGATCTGAAATATCCCCCAAAGGTGCATGTGTTAAAGGCTTGGTCCCCAGATTGGTGCTATTGGAAAATAGTGGAAGCTTTAAGAGGTGGAGCTTAATGGGAGGTGTTTAGGTTATTGGGGGCATGCCCTTGATGAAGATAGGACTCCATTTCCTTCCTCTTTTTTTTTGCTCCCTGACCACAATGTAAGCAGCTTTGCTTCCTTACCATATACCCAAAAGTAATGGCCAAGTAATCATGGACTGGAATCTCAAATTAGCCAAAATAAATCTTTTCTTTTTTTAAGTTGATCATCTCAGGTATTATAGTAATGGAAAACTGATACATAAGTATAAAGCCATATTTTTGTTACTGAATCTTTCTACACTTGTTACTTGTATAGCTTTTTTGTGTAGGTTCACTGGGGAGCAAGGTCGGACCACTGTTTGAAGCATCTACCAAGCATGCTTTATGCATAGGTTTCCGTAATGTGCAAATGAATCCTCCACTGGGCAATGCTATGGGGACTATATTGAAATATCTTCAGCAGCCAAGATTCTAGTCCATGATTCAGTCCATGGCACAGGCATCCTCTAGACTATTAGAAAAGTGGAAGCTTCAGGTTCAGATTCCCTAGCTAAATATTGCTGATGGAGTAGAGCTACAAGCTGCACATCCCTCTTCCACAGACTTCTCTCTTGCAAGGGCCTACCCAGGATTTACTCCTCTAAGATCGAAACAAACAGTTCTGTTTAGCATCTTCTGTACCTAGTGGAAAATCCAGGTGTTTTAACAAGAACAGTCTTGAATACCCTCTAACACTTGCCATAGCAAAGAGTAGTTTGAAAACAGGATTGCCAAGTGGCACCTCACTTTCACAAAACTGTCCACCTTGGTATCTTTCAAATTCAGTTTGCTTTTAGGATCTCATCTACCATCCCCAGGAGGGACAAAAGAGTAGGGATCATTCATCTCATTTGAAAGATCACTTATGTAAGGCAGGCAAGTGGCAGAAAGTGGTTGCCTTAAAATGCATCAGAGAAGGTGCAGAAAGAAATTGAGGTTTCCTGGTTCACAGTTAAGCTATAGCAAGTTCCTTTGACTATGAGAGCCCTAGGAAGAATGCCAATTCTTGTCCATGCATGTGGAACAGGTTTTAGGAGCCATTCCCTCTGCTTCTATCTTTTTTTTTTTTTTTAAAGAGAGAGTGGGAGAGGGGAGAGAGAGAGAGAGAGAGAGAGAGAGAATTTTTTTAATATTTATTTTTTAGTTCTCGGCGGACACAACATCTTTGTTTGTATGTGGTGCTGAGGATCGAACCCGGGCCGCACGCATGCCAGGCGAGCGCGCTACCGCCTGAGCCACATCCCCAGCCCTCTGCTTCTATCTTCTGGAAGAGATTGTAGAGAATTGGTATATTTGCTGATGTAAATGTTGTGTTTTAGAAGATTATTAATTACTGATCCAATTTCTTTTTTTTAAAGAGAGAGTGAGAGAGAGAGAGACAGAGAGAGAGAGAGAATTTTTTAATATTTATTTTTTCTTAGTTCCGCGGACACAACACCTTTGTTTGTATGTGGTGCTGAGGATCGAACCTGGGCCGCATGCACGCCAGGCGAGCGCGCTACCACTTGAGCCACATCCCCAGCCCTGATCCAATTTCTTTAATAGATAAAGGCCTATTCAGATAGTCTATTCCAAAGGTAGTTTTGGTGCCCTTCACAATGCTAAACCACTTACACCAATTCCTATTTCACGTGGTGACATTATTTCATAAACTATTTCCTTGTTGTTCATGAAGCAACTAGGGGAAAGTGGGAAAGTTTCACTTTATTAATGCAAAATTGTACAAGAATCTGTACATTGGCAACTTTGAGACACCTTCAGTAGATTTATTTGAAATCTTTTTATCAGTGATTATGAGGCAAAAATGATTACCAAGACATGATAGAGAATATGTGGCTGGGCACAATGGTGCACACCTGTGATCACAGAGGTATGAGAGACTGAGGCAGGAGGATCACAAGTTCAAGACTAGCTTCATTAACTTAGCAAGACCCTAAGCAACTTAGTGAGATCTTGTCTTGAAACAGAAAATGAAAAGGACTAGGGATGTAGCTTGATTGTAAAGTGCCTCTGGGTTCAATCCTCAGTACTTAGACCAGGTACAGACTGTGGCAGATAGATTTGCAATGGTCATTTAGTTGAAGAAAATACATTATGGTGCATTAGTCTCATGTTCTGAGACCATCTCAAGGGCTCTCTCTACCAAATTGACCATGAAATCATGAGAAAAGATACCTAAATAAACTGCACAATATTGTATTGGATTTTTCTCTGTGTATGTTTGTGACACATACACATTAACACATACACAAATACACTTTGTGGGTAGCTATAGAGGTAGATATATTTTTAAATATGCTTCTGAGACAAATAGCCATGCTAAGTGAGGCATGTTGGTATCAGATCTGGGTATTAGTGATCACAACTATCTCCAAGGTATGGGAAAAATGTTATGAGGCAGGACAACATTCCTCTGACCACAGCCTGGGACAGCCAGAACAAACCCAGCACTCACCCACAGTAGGTAACATGATGGGGTATGTACTCCCTCTAGAATGGAGCACATTATACCCTCACCACCATTCTCTGTACAAGATTCTATCCATCTTGTCATTAAGTAAATTTCCGCCACTATAGACCATCCACTAGTCTTTGACCACAGCTCCACATGAATCCTGTACTTTCGGAAGGAAGTGTTCAGTGCCCTCTGTTCTATCCTACGAGGAGCTTTATACATGTGACTGATATTTGTTGACTGCCACCAAACACCTCCTTTTAATCTGAGAGGTTCCTGGCCGTGGTTACCAGGAGTGGAGAATGTGACCATAACTAAGTTATTAAGAGAAGGATTCTACCTCTGGTTAGGCATATGACGTTAAGCCAACCTTCTCAGAACTTTTATTGGAAATGCTAGAACAAATTCAGCTTTTGCCATATAAGTAACCCAGTAGCTATTGCCAGTCTTCTTGAAATGAGAAGAAATATGAGCTTTAGGATGAAACCAACATCATAAAAGGCAAAGCAGAATGATAGAAATTCAGGCCTTGGTACCATAATGGAGCTGTAGGATCAAGTATCACCTGACACCTAGAACTGCTATGAACATTTTAGCTACATCAATCTACACCTTCCCTTCATTGTTAAAGCCAGTGTAAATTGGGGTTTCTCTTTATGAAAACTGAAAGAAACATAAAGATATATAGTAATAATATATCTAGGAGATAATAGGTATATAGATATGTATATATATAAAAGAATTATCTAAAAGATTTTTAATGGAAAATATCAAGCATACATTTAAAAGAGAATAGTATAATAAAAACCTCATAGGCCTCAAAATTGTGACTATCTTGCTATCTTGTTTCATTTATCCCTTTCTGCTTTTTGTGTTTTGTTTGGGGATGGTTGTTTGCTTTGAAG